AACAGTGTCTTGTTCATCAGTCCTCAAGGCCTCAAACACAAGGATGGAGACCTGGAATTCCAGCTATTTTGTGCTTTGCGGCTTTCTGGAGAAATTATCTGTTATTTTAGACGCAATACTCTGTACTTCCTACTGAGAACTATTTTGGGTTTTCTTTTTTCTTTTTTAATTTGACAGCTTTAAACAAAAAGAAAACCGATCAATCCAGCAGTAGCATCACCAAGGGAGGTTGCGACAAACTGCAGACTCACAGTTCCTTCACACAAAGAGCAAGGGCAAAGCTGTGAGGAGCACCCTGAGGAGGGGAGCCGATGGCTTGGCCACAGCAGACGGGACCCCTTTGCTTCTCAGTCACCTCCAAACAACGTGTCCCTGTCCCTGTCCCTCCTCCAAGTGTCTGAGTCACACAAATCAAACACAGGCCTCCCCATCACGCAATGAATTCACGCCTGGCCTTGTAACAGACTGTCCCTTATTTTCGTTGTGTGGAAAGTGCATGCTTGGTCCCATAACACCCCGTGTCCACCAGGTGAGCCACATGCAGCCACCCCTCAAAGCACATCACATGCTTCTGATCAAGTCCTGTGATGGGACCTGTAAGCAGCCTGCCACGTGATCCAACCTGCACATTCACTGTTAGCACAAGACTAGAGATCTGTCCATCCTCTTTTAGGTGATATGTGCATTTTAGCCATGAGAGAGGAACATTCCCGGTCATGTGATGGCAAAGATGTTGCAAGGTCATTCAGAAAGAGTGGCAGGGCCAGATGAACTCATTGGGCAGGCCGAATTTTGTCTGCAGATAAGACGAACTCTCAATCGAGAATACTGTATAATAATTTTCTTCAGGCATCTTATCTGAACAAAAATCAATGACAATTATTAAGTTAAACTAATGATACGTCTATATTGCAGCTGCTTTTTCATAGAGACTCTCCATTGGTTTTGTACAACATAATTCAACAGCAAAATCAGTCTGGACAAGGCACAGGACTTCCGCGCAGGCCTGTTTGTCTTAATTCTCAGAGCTTATATTCACACGTTGAAAGTTAACTTGAGTACTTACACTGTTTTGCGGACATACCCCAAAACAATTGCTCAATTCTTATTTTTTCATTTTTCTAAAATTGGAGTTTTAGAGCAAAGAATTAATTGCTGTGAATTTGCTATTCTAAAATAATTTCAAAATTTGACTGCAACTAAATCAACTATTGTACGTACACATACAGTTTCTGTTCTAAAAATGAACAAGTAAAACTCACTCAAGAACACAGATCTATTATAAAATGAACATTATTTATTTTAATAAAAAAGAAAATCATGTGGTAAATTAATTATTCTTCTAATGAACTTCTTCAGGAATAATATCTTTGCTTTTGAAATAATTAACGTACACAAAGAAATGAGGCTAGACTATTTCACCCTGCAAGATAATAATTAGAACACAAGAACTACTTAAGGAAGGAGAGGCTCAAGCCTGATACCGCTGGAATGGGTCTTCAGCCTGGGTATTTGATGTGAGCAATTGTTCACCAGTAAAAAGCACACGACCACTTAGAGATCCACTCTCCTCTACAATTTATTTCAGGAAATAGAACCCTGCTAGTTACACCTGCTGAGCTATAAGATGTTCTGCCAATAAACAGAGTTTACATTTAAGGATGCTACATTTCAGCCAAGAAATAAGCTTTGCAACCCAGAAATCCTGTGCCACAGAAAGTCTATCATGTTTCCCTGCCTTCAATCTTTTTGATTGTGATGATTTTTTGACCTCTATAAATACTGAAAATTTCGCTCTGTTGTTTTTGCCAAACTGACTAAAAGTGAAAAGAGTAGAATAAAAATTAAAAAAAAAGAATAGCTGTAAAGTGCAACTGTAAAGACATGCTATTTCTATCTTAAAGAAAACCGTGTACTTATCACTGTCGTGCAAACACCTCAATAAAACAGACTATAGCATTTGCTCAGTTTTGAGTTAAACTCTGCAGCTCCTAGTGCACCAAAAATCCAAACCTTCATTTGATCAGGATCAGAAGTTGTTGCTCACTACGTATCAAAACAGTTCTAGTTTCTCAGAGGGGTATTAGACCACCTTTCACAGTGGTCCCTATTCAGGATCAAGATTCTTCTCTTACATTTAAACCAAATCCCACTCCTCCACCAACCAAAGAGTAAGTCTGACAGAATCATTCTCTTGCAATGTTATAGACAACAGTCCGAAAGGAAAAAAATCTCCGGACCTGACTGAAGAACAAGGAGGGTTAACACAAGTGCTTATTTGATAACTTCTAGAAGGAAAAAAGTATGAAATTTCAAGCACCCCAGTAGACTGAAATTATGAGCTGAAGCAAGTGGAATCATCTTTACATGCTTTAAATTAACCTCCTCAGAAGTGCCTTCAGAAGAACAGTGCCATAAAAATTCAAATTAACTGTAATTTCTGTGTGAACAGAAACGCTGCACTTAATATTGGCAATTTACAACAGATATCTTGTAAATCTTTCACAGCACTCTACAACTTCAGGGTAGCATTAAAAGCATATTTCTAAGCAGTTTGAAGTCTAATCCACGAGGAGATTGCTTATCTACAAAGCCACCTGCATGCTGTAATTTAAAGTATTATGCTGAGAAAGGAGTCTGTAGAATATTTTAAGAGGCTTTTCTGTAATACTGTTTACAAAACTATTTTTTAAAGTATCCATCACACAACTTCCCTACTGTCAACTAGTGAATCGCCCTCTGCTAACCTTAGGGGAAAAAATGATCATTTCCCCAGATATTTGCCTGTTGAACAGTGGTTTAACTCGGTTCCTTCCTTCCATATAGCTCTTTCCGTTTTTCTCATTGTTTCTCCCCGCCACTATAGATTTTTCTCACTCTGTTCATCCTTACAGAGAGTCACCTTCTTCATCCCAGGTGCCAGTTTCCAAATCATTAATACAGCTGGAAAATGGCAGCAGGAGTACTAGCTACTTTAGGAAACTGCATAAGAAGCAGTTAAGCTTTCAAGCATCACACAGCTGGGCCAGGTCAAACCAGTGTAACTGATATACTGGGTGAGCCTGGCAACAGGAGATTCCCTCGGAGTACACCCACATGTTCAAAGACATTTAATTTAAAGTGTCTTAATGCAGCACTGCTCAGCAACTGAGTTGCCATAATTTATTGTGTATGGACTCAAGCCACCCAGGGGCAAGATAAAATGGTGGCTTAACACGTTTTACCTTACTATTGGGAGTGGTTAAAAACACATTCACAACCAGCTCCGATCATCTGCAAGACATCATTAAGGCATTATAATTGATGTTTTTTGATTTAAGGCTCCTACTCAAAATTTTAAGTGGAAAATTGTTAAAAGTCATTATAGAAATGCTTATGTTCCTTAAAGAATTCCCTTAAAGAAACATCTGATCACCCCTCTCATCTGTGTAAATCACCAGCCTGGGTGTTGACACGATATATCCTTGGCTGTTGTGGAACCTCATATTGAGATCTCTGTGTGTGCCGTGCATGTGTAGCACCATAAAGCATCCTCTCACATATGCCCGCAAGATGTCAAGAGCGGCTTGTAAATCACTGTGCATCCTTGTGCACTCCTGCACGGGCACTGACAGCATCTAGCCTGTAATGAAACACTGTCAAAAGACTGTCCCTTAAACGATAAACTTTATCACAAGTCTAAGATGAAATTCTGGTCTTGCTGTGGTCGCCTGGAATTTTACAGAAGAGTTGAAGGCAGCCAAAATTTCATTGCTATTTTTTAAATTAAAACAAAAAAAAATGCAGAGGACATACACATTAACTGCAAAAAAAAAAATAAAGGCTTTAGATTGAATATGGCTCAAAATACAGCATCTGCCAAAAAAACCAACATTGGGCATCCCTGGGAAAGGTACCGAGAACAAGGCAGCCAGTCGTTTTGCCAGCACATAGAGCCATGGTACACCCACATCCTGAGCACCATGCACAACTTGCTCTCTACATCTGAAGGCCACAACGGAGTAAGAGAAGGCACAGAGTAGGGCAACTAACTTAGCTACTCCTGAGAGAGCAGCCGCTTTACAAGGAGACACTAGAAAGGCTGGGACTCTTCAGTTTAAAGAGAAGATGGCTGGGCAGGGTATGACTGATGCCTACAAAACTGCAAAGGTAGTGGATACGCTGAACGCGAAACAGTTCTTCCACAAATTGTGCAATACTAGGCATAGGGAAGACTTGGTGAAACGAGCAGCTCAGTTTAAGACCAATGAAGGACAGCACTGCTTTGCACAGAGCACAGTGAACACCTGGAATTTGTTGTGGCACAAAGCTGTGGAGACAGACAGGACCAGCGCATTCAGGAAGGGACTCAGGAAATTCATAGGCAAGAAGTCCACAGATACCAAATGAAATTGGAAGCAAGGACACACTCTCCAACATCCCTAATCCAACCATTGTGGATACTGATGGAATATTAGGGAAAAGAGTGGCAAACAGTCATCTGGCTTGCATTAAATCCTAAATTGCATTTCCCTGTCGATGCAGACACATTACTGGGTTAGATGGTCCACTGAGCTGCCCAAGCTAGACATTTGAGTTCTTAGGCATACTGTTATGAAGCAACAACAAAATCCTTTCTTTCTTTCTTTCCTTCAGAAATACGGACCTTACTAGGAATTTTGACCAAATTCAGCCTGGCTTATACAGGTCAACAGGAGTTGCAGCTTTTTAAGCCAAGGCTGCTGTTAGTCTTTGTAGGGGAAATTCAGTGGATCATTTCAGACTGATACATGTAAGAGGCAAACAGTCACAGGTATTAGACACACGTTCACTCCAGTATTTCTACTACAGTTTCAATCTATTTCAGTGTAGCTAATAGGCAGAACCTGAAGCATGGCTTGTAAAGCTTATCTTGATAAACAACAATGACAGCGTAGCACCAAACAATGCTTGTCTCCCTAGATTATATAAATTTTGAGCTTGAAATTTTGAATTTTTGCAGTGTTCTTTTTCTGGCTTACCTTCACTGCACTGAAGCAGAAAGCATATAGGACAATCAGAACCACAAAGCTTCGGGAAATGCTGTATAGTGCAGATACGAACCCAGCAGCAGCTGAAATACAGACATTACGTTAATTTCTTCCTAAATGAGAACATGCAATGAAAAGAAAAAAAAATGAAACAGCTCTTGCACTACAAGAGGCATAGAGATTAAAGTCAGATATCACAAAGGTGGTTATTGAGAGAACACCTTCAATGCCCCCAAAAAGCTCACAAAACTGTTTACAGCTAAGACTGAAAGCCTGATTGCACTGTGCTCCATGTGTTTTCCACTGACCCGAGGTCCCACACTACTGCTTTTTGTACGGAACATTGTTTTGCCAAAATATCAGTATCCCTCTTCATGTTGCTACCAAGGAGGAACGAAGTGACCTACAAAATTGGCAATTTTCTAGTCAAACTCCATGTGGAATTTTCCTCCTTCCCTTTACTCCCGAGACACAGGCTCCGATATCATCCAAAAGCACCCTAACTTGCTCAGTCAACCATGATTTGCACCATACTAATATACAGGAACGAACTTAAAGGGAGAGAGAAGGATGCCAGCTGATCCCTTGCTATAACCTCCTTTGAGATCTCCCAGAAACAGGGTAGGCAAAGCTGTGAGACAGAATTGGGAGTTCAGCAGTCTTGACAATAGAGACACAGGGACTGCAAAACTGTGCTCTAATTAGGGTTCAACATACACTGGAATCATCATTATTGATAGGATGAGGACTTTATGCAACACGTTAGTTCCTCCAGGTCTCCTATGGTATTTATGAGACAAAAAGTGAAGAACACCCGTATCATCTGTACTAGTTTTAACCACTTGCTAAAGGCTACGTCTACAGTAGCAAGCAGAACGATGCAGTAAGCGTGGGTCTGTGGAATGAGAAGTGCTGAGGATGTCATATCCATGATATACATCTCTGAGATGCCTTACTGCAGACTGTCTCTAGTCTGGTCCCACAGACTGTATGCTCATTAGTGTTCGCAGTGCAATAGGTGCACCCTTACAGTGCACTTTCTTTTAAGCTTCATCCAAATGGAATCCAGTTTGCACACTGACATCATTCCATGATGCAAAACAACATGGCGTAAGCAGGAACAAGAAGGAAGTTTGCTCCTGATCCAAACTAAGATGACAGTGTAGATGCATCCCAATCTTCTCTGTTACTTAAGCTATAATGAAAAACAAAACCCACCACTACCAACAACAAAACAATGCATTGTCTCTCACGGGCCTTGTTTAATCTCTGACTGAAACAACATTAAAAAAAAAAAATAAATCACACATCCAATATCTTGTGAACATGTCTCACTATGGAACGATGCAACCTTTTTTGTTTTTATTTTTTAAATGGAGGTTTAACAGAAAATTTTTTAAAGAAGTTTTTTGTTTTTTATAAATACAGTAAAGATTCACATCAGACATGCCAGGAAAGAGCTATTTGATGTCAACCACATTCTATAGTCTATAACACAACTTGTATACAACTTTTCAAAAGAAAAAAGAAATCTAATCAAGGGGGTCTTATTAGTATTCACCCCACTGTTATATGAATACCATTAGCTGTTGGACCTTTCACATGCAATGTGCTTTAAATAATATACTCTAATCTAAGGTTATAAAGCCCAGAAAGGGATAGCTCAGGCTGCAACTGGCTACTTACCAGAACCGCCAAAAAGCAGCATGTCTGTTTGCTCCAAAAGATATATACAGAAGGTGTTGATTTGAGGGAAAAGACCAAGAAGAGAAATTGCAGGAAAGCAATATAAAAACACTAAAGAAACAAAAAGATGTATGTTAGAACACAGTCATACACCACAATGTATGGAGAACAGAGAAACATGCAGCATACCAGAATAAGAAATTGTTGCAATAAATTCTGAAGATTACTCAAGTTAGCACACCTTAACCTTAGCAGCAACAATTACACTTTCCTTCTTGTGTATTCAAAATAAATTTTGCTATTTTACATGTAAGAAACTAAAGCTCAGAGGTTAACTTTAAGCTTTATTTTGGATAAAACCAGTGGCAGAAAAATAGCATTATGTAGCCTCCTTACTGCTTCTAATATTTTCAAAGTTATACTTGTTCTATTTAGAATACAGAAGTTTTAATTCGCAGACTTCGGAACTTCCTTCTCGGATCTGAGATGGTTCGAGCACAGATACAACAATTCAATGTAAACAAACAAAAATATTTTAATGGCTAAGTATCTTGGCTAGACAGTATCCTGCCTCTGCCAGCAATCAAGAGCAGACAGTTAAAGCAGCACATAAAAATGGGACAAAGTAGTGAAACTTCCCCAGACTATTTCCCCAGCTTCCAGCAGGATGCACCTTGACTTTGCAGTAGTGAAAGAACATTAAGAACAGTAAAGAAACTCGGGGTAAAACCCAGTCTGACATCTTTACATAGTCTCTTTCTAAATAGAAATGCTAATTTAAATGGCTGCCTTACACTCAAGGAAAAGCAGGATTCATAATTGAGGTAATTGTGCTCCTAGTCTTACGTTCTGTTCATTTCCAGCCACTTCTTCCCATCCATTTACTCTTAGCTCCACCCTACAAAATGCTAAGCACAGTTGTCTAGCAAAGCATCTGAACACACATGTGACCCAAGTCTCCAATACTGTCAACTCTCAAAGATACATGCACATGTTTAATCATATTCTTACTGCTTCATTGTACTAGTACCAGAATGTTCTGCATGGTGAAGGAGAGAGATGTGTGTCAGCCGCTATTCCTTGTAAACAAGTATGTATTTGTTAGTTTACATGCTAGGAAGACCGCAGTTTCCTCCTATTCATTCTCATAAAAAAACAAATTAAACAAATCACTAGTACAACTTATTCCCCTTCCCACCCCAGTCAAATTTTAAGAAGGTAACAATAGGATTTGTGTTCTTTGTTGAATGCTAATTTCATATTTTACACCCAGCTCCTCTTACTAATGCATCTCGTGCTAAAATAAAACAATACACCGAGTTTGATCTGACAGCTTTTATCTTCATTGTATTATACAGTACTGCTATCTAATATTGTAAATCTTGCTGAGGAAGTCAAACACAGGACAAAAAAACCGACATATGCAAGCGTTAAACACAGACAGGGCTCACTTAAGTATACTTGCATTCACAATGCGCCCTTCATCATGACTTCCTGCCGCTGGCACAAATTATGTGTACGTAAGAACATGAGGAAACACTGTCTTCTCAATCTTTTACATGCAAATGCCATCATTAATCTCCTCTTCCTTTACTACTCTGCTCTTCTTTTAGATATTCCACCAAGCCATACCAAGCCAAGCAAGGACCACTCGAAGGCAGATAACTGCATGACCCGAAAATGCCCAGCAGGCCATGTGGACTCGTCATGAGATCAACTATCCCAAAAACTCACTGCTGAAACTCACATGAGATCTTGTTCCTGGGGCAAAGGACTTGCAGAACTGCCAGATCTCATCTTAGACTACTGACTTACAGTCCAAACAACTGCCTTTGCTGCAGCAGCCTCATAAAAAGCTGAGTAAGAGCAGGGGAAGGAAGGACGAGCCCAGAGACATTATACTGTCAGTATGCCAAAATACATAGGGGTGAATGTAAACAAGGAGGGAAAAGTTGGTTGACTACAGCAAGGTCCTCAGCTCACCCTCTCTCTATTAATACCTTGAATACTCCTGACAACTTCTTCGGCTAAGGTAGCTTTGTTTATCTCATTCTGCACAAAGGAGTATACCAGAGAGGAAAATAAACAGTTGTCACTTACAAAAGGCTTGAACTTAGGAGCAGTAGTTTCCCTTGTGGGAAGAAGACAATAAAAGTAACTGATTATTCAGTTGGAATTGCATTATGAATTCCAGAGAGAATTTGTTTAAGCATCACACATTTCCATACAGACCAACACCTTTAAGAGCGGGACCACTAAGAGATGCTTATGTGAGCTGCTAGCATTTAACACTGCAGTTTGAAGGTTTCCTCTGAACGAGTAGCTACCAGATAAGTGTAGGAGGGAAACACAAATTTTGACTTTGGAAACTTTGGGTCTTTTGAGAAATGCAGAATGATAACTCAGTGGCAATGTCACTGCAAACATTTTAGAAGTTTAGAAAATTATTGTTTTGAAAATTATATATCTGAGTACTAGTCCATTTGCTGTGTAATAACACATACTTTTTCACAGGGAAAAAAAATATGCGTTATTTCATTGAGAAATAGTCTTTTTGTTCTCCCCCTCCTGAACACAGCAGAGGATAACATTCACAGAGGCTTTCTTCCTGTGACAGAAGGTCAGTCATTGCTGAAAGTAACAGGCAGATGACTTGCTATGACAAAATTTTGCCACTACGTGATACTTACTTCTCTGAGAAGTCTGCCAAATAATTTCACTCACCTGTCTAATGCTTAAACGGTTTCATCACAAAAACTACCATACATTAAGTACGTAACTACTTTTGTCACTGACCACACCTGTAGCACCTAGTGACTGAGGCTGGCTCTGTCTGTGCACTTACTTGCACTACATATGTGAATCTAGCAAAAAGGTCAACTGAAATAAGGAATTCAAGATGAAAACCATAGTTAGAATGAATTAAAACCATGATTCCCCAACTAATATAAATCAATAGCAGAATGACCATCAATTTAAAATAAAACAGCATCAGATCCTAAGTAGATTGCTTGCAAAGAAACGGACCTGTTAAAAGCCACATTTCTTAAGTAACTAGGTTACACACCTAACAAATTTCCCCTGATTTTCTTTTATAACCTTGTGTCAAGACTTACCGTAGTATGCTATGCAGCATCACACTAGGTAGTCCTTTATGATTTCCATCATTTTAGCTTCTTACCATAGTGAACACCTGAAATAGAAAACTTTGCCTTTCCTCGGTATTTGTACTGTATAGTGAAAAATCCCTTGATTTTCCAACATATGAACTCTGAATGCTACAATAAATTACGAGTAAAATATAAATTAAAATGTCACCATATGATGACAAACCAATGAAAAGATACCAAAAATACCTAGCAAATGGGCAAAACCGCAAAACAATACAACACTTCATTGGTATTCAGTGGGGCCAACTTCCCTCCCAAAACAAATACCGCCCAAAACAATCCTATACCTTCCGTGCCTAAGGGAATCTGTACTCAAAGCACAGCAAGATGCTGGAGGATGCCAACTGCCATGGCGTCGGGAAGTAGCTGCACTTGTGAACACTCACAAGGACTGATGGCAGCCAGAAGCTGGGGCTCCCATAGAAACAAAACAAGGAATTGCCAGAGCATGGCACCGAACATCATTTGAACAAATACACCCACAGGTGTGCCAGCTCCCAGAGCTGGCAAAATAAGAACGGGGGACAAGCAGAGGGAAATGGTTTCTTCTCCCTTTCTCATTAAACAGATGCCGACTCGGGAGATGAGCCTGTATTTCTTCTCTCCCCCACCCCCTCCAGGCTGTTTCAAGAACCTGCTCTACCACCTCTTTTGAGGCCAGCCAAAATTAGCACATTTATAACCACACTTTTTTTCTTATACTGGTTGCTATAGTTTTTCATTTATCTCTATCCCAAGAGTCATTTAAGATTCTTGTTGAATTATTTATCAGCATTTTTACTGTTCACCTTTGACAGGCAGAGAAAATAAGATGTAAGAAGAAACTTTAATGAGACCAAAGGAAAGTAATGAAAGAAACTAATGAAAATAAGTGAGATGCAGGTCTTCATTATTCCCCTGCTTCTATTGAGAAGGATTGGGAGTCAATGAACCCATATAAAGGACCAGAAGGCTTTCATAAAAATAGTATGCTTTTCAGGCAGTAATAGCCTGACTTGAGTATAGCAAAAAGCAAGAACAAGAGTCAAAGGTGAACAAAGACCTCAAAGGTCATACACTCTATATCACAACGTTTTTTCCTCTACTACAGTAGGTTTTCCTGGTTCTAAATTCACAAACCAACAGGTCGTCTTTGGTACACTACAACACAGCTCTTGGGAAGTTTTCACAACTTTTGCAGTAACCTTTAGCTTTTCTACTTCATACCTAACAGTGTTGCACTACTTGACTTGCGTCCAGTTCAGCACTCTTATCTCTGACACAACTACAGCAGCATCACAGCTACAGGCTGCAAGTGTGTAACAGGAAGAAGCGTCCTGACAGAACGGGGTATTTCCAGCTGTGGCCACTCTGAATTAGTGCCAAAAGACCATCAGTCCAGTCCCATTTTGGGGCAATACCTGAATGTCCTCAGCCACCTCAGGACGTGATTCCAGAAGGAAACAGGTTGGAAGAGCTACTGCGGAGTGGTCACTCCACACTAACTCATCACGTGGACAGCGAGATTAAACTAAACCAAGAAAAAGCATGTGCTTCATCAGTGGAAGAATGTCCATCTGAGGGCTTGGCATGGATTAGCTTCCAGGCATTAAATTTAAAACTTGGCTTATTCTGCAGTAACTGCTCCACACAGACAAGCTCTTACAAAGATTAACTGCATTTCACAGATGATGTCTTTTGCTAATAACATCAGTGACTGTTAGAAAAGTCTCTATAGAAAACTATGAGCCTCATTTCATTAAGAACTCCTTTTACACAAAGGAAGGTTGCCAGCTGCCCTCCACCCCCAATCTTAAGTCATTCCAAATGTTTCTATCAGTTTGACTTAGAGTTGTGCCCCCATAACATGCATTTGATTGCCAACATGGGAAAACACAGACCTCCCCAGCTAACACTTAATTCATCTTTACGGTCCTAGGAAAAACACTGACTCACCTATTACATGGTCTCTGGCTGACTGGAGAGATCTAGGCGAAAAGAGCTGCAAGCCATACATTGTATAAACTGGAGGATTTGTGTCTTTAGATCCAGCATCTAGCAGCAAAATAAGGCCACACAATATACAAAAATATACAGGTCTGCTGTAGGTTATGATTTTGTTGTGCCCCTAGAAAAAAAAAAAAAAAGGGAAAAAAGTGTTTGAATTTTGTATTCACTCTCCTACTGTGTACACTACATTAAACTGGAGGGAGGGTCAGGAGTCAGACAAAATATTTTAATGACTTATACATACTAATTAATTATAAATACATTGCAAGGTATTTTATCTTCTCCAGAGGAGACTTTCAAAAGGCACAAAAAGCAGTTAAGACTGACTCCAGCAATCATTTATGTTTTTGAAAATCTAACCTTCTGAACCTTTCAAAACACACTAATTGCAGAAGTCGTCATTTTCTGTGGAGAAAAAAAAACCTCAATCTGTCTTTTCAATAGAAGAAGAATTTTTCTCTGTATTACTTTTATTTTAATGAATATCAGCTTCAGGTAGCTTGGCTTTTTTTTTTTTTTTTTTTTTTTTTTTTTTTTTAAGTATAAAATTATTT